CATCACGAAACACWAGCCGACCACTCGCAATCGGGTGATAGATGCTGTTTGCTTCCCCAACAACATCGCCGCTGATCTGCCCGACGGATGATTAACCAATGCACGAGGCAACAACGCATCCMACCGACCAATCGCGGAACGACAGAAGATTACTTGCGATCGGATRATTGATCGTTTGTGCTGCACYGAAGATTAACCCGCCGGCGAGTGCCTGTTTATATATCCACCTGACAGTCYTCGACYGAACAGTCGATCGGTCAGGAAATCTGCCAGGATCAACTGATTGGTCGACCGCTCTGTTGGCGATTGCTCTACTGGTTGATCGACCACCACACCAACCGCCAAACGAGCAGCCGAACAATCAATTAATCCTGGCAGATGTAATGACCAATCGACTATTCTGTGCACATTGATTGTGGAAAACGATCGCGGAGAACCCTCAAGGCAAATGATCATGTGCACGATGGACGACGGCGAACGAAACACACAACCGATCGGAAAAACGTCGATCCCGATCTGCGAACGAATAAAAAACACTTCGTCACAATCTTGTTGCACATCGAACCTCGTATAACATCGAATCATGCTKGCCATGGAACCTGGCTCCACATCAAACCTCGGCGGGCGTCGAACCTCGTCGGACGTCGAACCTCGRCGGGCGTCGAACCTCGGCRGCGCACTTGACRGTCACTGAAAGGCGAACGTTGAGCACCCACCACCCCACGCGTCGCCGAMACTGTTCTCGTGACCGGAACGTGGCCGTTCCAATCTGCCAGCACAACCTGGGCCATACCAACCGAACTTATCGTGCAATGAAACACCGAAAGAAGTTGGGATCCCYGCGAGCTTGTGCAACTGTTCGAACCCRCTTCTCAACCCCGGTACGCAACCACAGCYAGGGAAGAGGRAAAATATGAAGTCCGCCGGGATCCGAACTTCAAGAAATTGYTGGACGGCGAGTTTRGCAGACAGGTGTGTATCTCCYACACAATTTCGCCAWGTTYGGATTCCGRCGAACTTCATGTAGCTGTTCGAAAACGCTTCGCAACCCCGGTCCGCAACCAGAGCCTGAGACGTGTAAAAATTTGAAGCCCGTCGGGATCTAAACTTGAAGAAATTGCTGGACGGCGAGTTTGGCAGACWGGTGTATGTCTCCCACGCAATTTYGCCAAGTCCGGATCCCGACGAACTTCATGCAGCTGCTCGAACACGCTTCGCAACCCCGGTCCGGGAGCACAGCCTGGGCCGTGGAAAAATTTGAAGTCCGCCGGGATCCGAACTTCAAGAAATTGCAGGACGGCGAGTTTGGCAGATAGGTGTGTATCTCCCACGTAACTTCGCGAAGTTCGGATCCTGGCCAACTTCAGGTTCCTGCTGGCCTGCGGATCCAAACCTCGCTCGCACTATTCCTTGCACACTCGTCGAGTCTGGACCCCGGCGAACCTCGGATCCGTGATAATGCGAAGTCTGTCGGGATCCGGACTTCTCCTGCACGGTTCCTCGCATAGACGTCAAGTTCGCACCCCGGCGACTTCGCTTGTCTCATTGTGCGGGTTCAGAACGCGGGTTTTCTAGCGCTCGGGGGTTGGCACAACTTTGTATTTGAAAAAATGTTAAGTCCACTGGTTGTTTCTCTCCCACTCGGCCTCGCCAAGTTCGGATCCCGGCGAACACCAGGTTCCCGTCTGCCCTCCCGTGGATCCGGACCTTGCGTGCCCGGTTTCCCGCACAAAACCCACGCCAAACCCACGCCCAAACCCTCCCGTGAATCCGGACCTCGCGTGGCAAGTTCGGACCCCGGCGAACTTCGCGTCGCGCATGGTGTGGGTTCTGACTATGTCCTTTCTCGCGAACGGGTGTTTGCCACAACTTTTGTTTCGCAGAAATGCGAAGTCCGCCGGGATCCGTACTTCTCGTGCCAGGGTTCCTAGTCCCATCGTCGGGTTAGCCTGCTGTGCATCTCCGGCACAATTTCGCCAAATCCGGATCCCTGTGTATTTGAGCTCCACCATCAACATGTGCCAAACAGTCGGTCACTGTCGTTGCGAGATGCCAAAAGCACTCTTAGAGATCACTGTCGCAAGGTCGTGCGAGCTTTGCGTTTCCTGAAACCAGTTGGAGATCCCGGTTGGCGGACCCTCTTGTTGGAAATCCCGTTGCCTTGCTAGGACACCTTGCTAGGACCCCAACTTTCTGTCGGTCTCTCTCGCAGCCTCCCGAGGTTCGGATCCCGGCGAACTTCCTGTGATGCCTGTGTATTGAACGGGCGCTGGTCTTGATGATCCCCCGTGGATTGTGACACGAGTCAACCCTGATCCACAACTTCCCCTCATGCAATGTTGTCGCGGTTGTTGCGTTCGAACTTGGCTCCATCCAATGCCAAGCTGCGCATATCAGAAGAAGTTCGGATTTCGGCGAACTTGTCCTTCTCAACCGGCCTTTTGTGTTAGTGCAGCCTTTCCGCGTCGTGGTTTAGTCCACGGACCGTGTGTCTCTGACACCGTCTCTGCCTGTCGCATCGTCCTGAAGTTCGGATCCCGGCGAACTTCACGTTTCGGTGGGTGCGTTGGTTTGTCTTTGGACCGGCACGTCCTGGGGTTCGCACAACCYGCTCGGCGAGGTGGAGAACCGTCTCYGACTTCTAGTTTCGATCAAATGYTGTTGCGGAGTGTGTTCGCTYGYGCAYGGTTCWGGAACGCTGGCTGCGTGGGCTGGCTGTCTCTCTCTCTCTTGCGCCTCATCTTTTAGTACGGATCTCGGCGAACTTCGCGTCCTGAACTGTCCAGGTTCCGAGTGCTAAACGGAGGACACTGGCCCATCCAACACGAGCTTTATGCGTCACCTCCTGTCCATTCCCGATCCAGTCGACATCCATGTTCCGAAAACACCGACGTGGTTGTCGCCCGGCTGCATGAAAGAAGTCATTGCTGGTCTTCGCGTTCGAAGTTCGCTGGGATCCGAACTTCGAGGTCCACGGATGGCGTCATGTGATAGACGCGTTGAGGGCAAGGTGTGCCTCCTATGTTTTTCGCCTGCGTTGTACTTCAACTGCGATTTGACGCTCACTGGTGTTTTATTTGTTTTCCGTTGTCGTCCGCAGACAATATGTCTTCGTCCAGGGGCGTAGGGGAGCCTGCAGCGACCTCCGGGATGGGATCTGGGAAAGATTCTACAAAACGGTCGTCTACGACCTCGAGGACGTGGTCCGACCACGCTAGGTCGAAATGGTTCGTCGACTGGTGCTGTGGGGATGCATCAAACCCAGTGCAACAGCCGTGTGGTCCTGTGATCTTCGTCGAAGCCAACAAGCGGCGTAGGGTGCTGGGGGTTGTCTTGCGGTGGGAGAATGCGAAAGGCAGCCGTCGACGGTTCTACAGGAAAAATGTCTACGGTGCGAAGGGGAACGTCGTCGCCGGTGCCAAGGGGGCGATTCTGGACATGTGTCTGTTCGAGGGGTTCGGAGTGGGTGCTTCGAATACCCCGTTCTACAATGACCTCCGGCGGCAGGGTGGTTTTGTTTTGGGTCGAGAGTTTTTTGACTTGTTGGAGGACAAGGACATCGCCCTCGACGTCCCTTGCGAAGTCGGCCCCGACTTGGAGCTGTCAATGCCTTTGTAGCCGTGCGGTGGTTGTGAGTCGAGCGGGGCAGCGGGGGAGGGGGGGGATCTGGGTTCCGGAGAGGCTACACATGTGCAGCGGGAAGATGCCAGAGGTCAGATTGACGACAGCGAAGATGAGGCGACACGGCGTCCGCCGTTTTCAACGTCGAGGGAAAGAGACAGGTCCGTGCTGTCCATACCTGGGGTCCGGCAACAGACCGCAGCGGATCCCGGAGAAGAGGGAGTCCTGTGTGGGTCTGACTTAAAGCCCGCCGAGGGCCATGGCGCGGAAGGCGAGGCCGTGGGTGGGGAGGGAGCGYAGAGCACTCCCCAAAAAAGGAGGGGAGAATGTCAAGAAGAGTTGGTGGGCTCTTCGAAGAAACAGAAGACCAAGACCCCGARWRCTGCGGGAGAGAAACGGAAGGGGAGGGCGGTGGAAGAGGGCCACCCGGGTAGCAAACGTCCAGCTTCGAAACATAGACAGCCTGAGTYGGGACMTTCTACACCACGGCCTGCYATCGACGTSGACGCCGGGTACTTCCTGGAGTACAAAGACGGCGTCAGGACAAGGCGGGAGTTTGAGATCAGCCCGGCTTAGATCGTCGACATAAGGGAGTGGGAGGATCTTTACAACCAGCGGTCGCTAGATCCCGTCCTCGTGGGAACGATAAGGGAAGCAATGTGGTCTGCGTTCGAAAATAAAGAACAGACGTACGAGTTGCCAGTCTTCAAGCTCGCACCACTGAGGCTTCAAAAACCAATTCCTGGGACCAAGGCACAACGTCTGAAGCCGGAGGAGTGGAAGGATGAGCTGGCGGGAGRATACTACTACTATGCGGTGTGTGGGCAGCACAACGCGGCTGCAGCCAGGTCACTGCTCGGCAGCGAGGTGGCCAAGAACTACAATTTCGAGCGGTGGCCGGCACGGATGGTGTACTTTTCCGGCGACGACTTCGAAGGGTATTTTCTTGTTAGTTCACAGGACAACAAGAAGGACCTCAAGGCACCTCCCAGACAGTTGAAACTTTCTATGAAAGACATTCAATGGCAGTGRAAGCATGACCGCTGCCCAAGARCTGTGATGGGGAACCCTAGCGGGAAACAAGATCAGGTCCGGGATTGGCGTAAGTTTTGTACAACGGCGCTCCATAAGGCACCTCAAAACAGCTTGTAGCTTCTYGCGGATCAAAAGGAAGAGGAGGCCATTAAGAAGCAAAATGCTGCCCTGCGTTCTTACTTACCTCTGGCGATGGCCGGGGAAAATGTCTGGAAACTGGCCGTGGAATTTTTCGAAAAATGGGAGACGGGTAGATTGCTGAGCCACGACGGGGCGAAGTGGATCGTCAAAAATAAGAAGGTCTTAAACGTAAAGCCTGGGGTCGCCTAGATCCACAACGACAAATTGGGCAGAACGGAGGTGGTGTACAACGTCCCCGTGGATCCGCCGAATAAAAAGGGCAAAAAGGAGAAAGAGGAGGGCGATTGGTTCGTGCAAGTGCCAGACCCGGACGCGCATTGTTGGAAACCAATGGAATCACTCACGGACAATAAGAAGTGCTGCGTTCTGAAAAAGGTGCTTGCTTGCGAGGTCGTCTGGGTCCAGGCCGGTTCCCCGTCGTTGGCGAAGTTGGGAAAGTTCAGCGTTCAGGACATGGTGCAGCTGGTCAAGTACGACCGCGTGCTGGTCCGGCTGTGGAATTACTACCAATTCAAGTACGAGAAGAGGTCGGACGGGGACTGGATCCAAAGGTACCCTTTTCTGAGATCGAGGTCTGCCGTGTTCAAGAAGTTTGAAGGTCAGGGATTGGATGACGACTTGTGGGATAACAGCAGGAAACACGTTTCCGACTCGGCGCTGTTCAAGGACTGCCCGCCGTACATGGGCTGCGACCAGGACAACTCGATTGAGGTGACGGAGAAGTTGGCGGGCCACAAGAAGTTGTCCGTCGACTGGAGAAACAAGGTTCTCTCCGTGTTGAATGGAAGCAGACTGAAGAGCCGGGAAGTCGCACTTGCGGAAGGCGTCGTTCACATTAAATGGAAAGACACGGGGGACGTGACATCCATCGTGCCGTTCACCAACGACCCTTTAGAGGCGGACATCAGGGGCGCAGGGCTGAACGAGGCAGTGGGTGCCACAAAGAGCCACACGTTCGTCCTCAATCTGTGCGAGCCGGTTGACCTCAAACTGTGGAAGCCCCAAGCGTGGGAGACTTTGAATTCCTATCTCCAGACGTGGTGTCCCTCGCATTGGACTCTCATTGTTTTCGTGCCGCGGCAGCACAACCTGTCGTTTCTCGCCATCATGCACCACCTTTCTTTCGTCAAGCTGTTGGAAGGGAAGTGGGTGCCGAGAGTGCAGAAAAAAAAAGCTTCCCCGTTGGGACGTTGGGAACAATTTGTACACGGAGGAAGACCGCATGTACATCCTCTTCAAGGGTGACGATCTGCGCGCCAACACGTCCGCGGTCTACGAGGGAAACCTGCCAGGGGTGCCGCTGCTGCGGTGCGATTGCCTCAGAGGGTCACCCAGACGGATGTGTCCGAGCTTCCCTTTGTGCCTTGCGATTGGTCGCTGGTGGCGCTGGAACGACAGGCCAGTGTCTACGGGGATATGGAACGCAATCCGACATAATTCGTCGGTCTTCTTGATTTTCTTGGCAAGAAGGGAGAGGGTGTCGTGTTTCTTGGGAAACCGCACGCGCGAAACGTTTGGGAGCTTCTGAAGGCCGGCCGACACGTTGTCGCGATGGAAGGGAACGTCGAGCTCTTGCAATTCACGATGCAGGTGGTGAAAAGCGAGGTCAATTCGGGCAGGCACAATTGTGAGTTCGTGGTCGTGAAGCCAACACGGGATAAGGTGTGGAGCAACAAGACGGATATGTGGTTCAAGTTGAGCGAGAGGAAAAGGAACAAGATATACGATTTCTTGTTCCTTCAAACGCGGCCGAGGAAGGATTCTGACGCCGAGTACGTCCGCCGGAAGGACCACATGTCGCACTGCTCAACAACTATCACTTCGCCTCCCGCATGAACGTGAAGACGTTTCTCGATAGGCTGCAGTCGCTGTACTTCGTGGAGTCTGAGGAGCAGTTGAAGTTCGCCAGTTACGCTTCCCTGATCTCCACTGAGGACAAGGAAGCTACAGGTGTGGAGTTTGTCGCCAACGCGAAGGAGGAGGAGAGCGACACCGAGAGCATTGATCTGCAGTACGACCCACCTCCGGCGGACCACGGCAGAGGGTCATCGTCGGCCGGTCCATCAACGAGCGCTGCAGCCCTCGTGTCACCGTCGGCCAAACCGCCGCCAGGCACCACGCCGATGAAGTTGCTGGAGAGACTCAGAGCTCTGGCCGTCCCCTCGCCCCCTTTGCGTCCCGGGTCCGTCGTCTTGCCCGATCATCTGTCTTGGAAGGATGACAACATTCACTTCCAGTTCCTGCTTGAACCACAACGTCATTCACTTGAGGTGGACTGGGGCCATGACATGGTTTGGCATCCGGGAGTCATCCAACCAGCGATACGAAATGGGGAGTGGGTTATGGCCGTGGCAATCCCGGGCGTGGGATGGGTGTCATTCCCACGCGAGTCGAAGTCCAACTTCCTGCAGCTCGCGAGGATTTCGGTCCTCTAGAAAGTGACGGTCAAAAATAACACTTTAGAACCCGGCGACCTGTCCCTCATTTCCACTGTTCGACGAGCTTCAGGACAAGTGCTGGTTGGAATTGACGGAGGACTAATACGAGCTCGACACGAATCCGTCGAAGGGCGTGGTGGACTGGAAAGTGCCCCCTCCCAGTGGGCCGAACGGTGGTTTCGGGGGGGGGGTCACCTGGAAGCGGAGGGGATGGGGGTGGCGACGCCGCCTATGGGGGAGAGAAGGTCTCACGGCCGCAACATGACACCGGGAGGCAGCGCCGGGTTGGCGGGTTTCGCCGTCGACCGGACTCTGACAACAAGCACCCGGCCCGAGCATACGACACACTCCGCCGACTCCCCAACTTCGTTCGTGGGCTCAACGAGGGACACGTTGGCAGCCTTGGTTGCTCTGGGCAGTCGCTCGGCCGGAAAGCCGAAGTCCACCGGGATCCGAACTCCGTCGGGTGAGGAGCCGCAAGAGCGGTCCGGAATGCGAAGCTGCTCGGGGTCGGGGGATTCAAGCAAGGATCCCGAAATTGGCAGCATTGCGGCGCGAGACGGAGACGTCGGAAAGGTGTCGCCTGAGCGGGAGCGACGGCCGCAGGGATTGCAGCGGGAGGCTGCAAGTGCAGGGTCCGGCGACACAGAGACCACGAAGTCCGCCGACATCCGAACTTCTTCGGGCGGGGTTTGTCGGCCAGGGATTGTCGTGCCGTTGAGAAGGGCAGCGTGCACGGGGACGGAAGGGCGGTCCTCGAGATTCAACACGGGTACCGCGGAAGGGGACAAATTTTGTGGGAGGAAAGTAGCGGAGAAAATGGAGGAACAGAAGGGAGCGCAAGAAGGGGAGAAAGAAGGGGAAGAAAAGGTGGAAGGGGAGGAAGCGGGAGAAACGGAGCTAATTGATTTGTTTGAAGGAAGGGAGGGTGCCGAGTCTGGAGAAGACAAAGTGGAACACAGTGAGGACGATGCCGGATCTGGAGAGTCGTGTGACGAGTTCGGACAACTGTACGGAGAGCATCACGAGGATGATGTCGACGACGATGCCACGACAATAGAGATGGAGACACAAGTGGTAAGCAGCCTTTCCGCAGAGCCTGAAGATTATGTGGTTCGGCCACTGATGTCTGCTGTCGACTTGCAACACCGGTTCGACGAGGCTTCCATCGCTATCAGCCCGTCTGAAAAAAGTCGACATATAAGCATCGACGAAGTTATCGACGGTATCCTAGGCGACCACAATGTGTCTGGTCGTCCGTCCGCAACTGCCAACGTCGCATCTTCCGTGGCAGCTGCCCTCGCGTCGTTGCCGCCGAAGTCTCTGGTGCTGCCAGCCACCCTTGCCGCCGAAGGGGAAGGCGAGTTCGGTGGAGGACAACATGTGACGTCCCCAAAAAGATCGAGGTTCGGCGGTCAAGCTCTCGACGTGCTCGCTTTGCCTGCGCCAAATTCACCATCGAAGGAGCGGAGAGAGAAACAGACTGGTAAGTCGTGAAGAACGCCTGCGCATCCAGATGTCGCCGGGTTACAGTCCGCACTATACACACGACGACAGTCCACACTGTCTGTTTATACGGGAAGTTCCGGATGCCGGCATGCGACAGCCAGCAGCCCTTCGTACTCTAGCTCGTCAGCCTATCTGTGACTCGGCCGGGTTGCTAGTCGAGGGCGGCGAAAACTTCGTCCAAAACCTTACACTCCGTCCAACGAAGGATCTGCCCCGGCTGAGGAAGTGGCCAAGGTGCTAAGAAAGTGGCCAAGTAGATGGACTGACAGTTTTCCCTTCTCGGAAATAGTGCCGGTTTTAGTCCGCCGGGATCCGAACTTCCTTTGTCGATGCGTGATGTGGTCAGTCTCAGTGGGGCTGGTGTGTTGAAAAGTCCGCCGCAGTCCAAACTTCGGGGACCGCTGACCTTTGGCTTCTGTGAGTTGTGGTGGTTTTCCTTTGCGAAGTGCAGGGGTGTTAAGCTAGAATGTTGCAGTCGTTTTGTTTTCCAGTCGCACAAGCGCACCTGGGTGCAAATGACCACGCGAGATCAGGGTCATGTGGTCGGAGAGGTCCTGCTTGACTGTTGCGTCTGTACGAATGTATGGTTCTCATTTTCCTTTTTGTCTTTCTTCTGTTGTACAGGAGTGGTGTCGTCTCGAACACGGAGGTCCTCCAAATATCCATAGCACATATTGCAGAAAGTCCCCGGGTTGAGTACAAAACAGAAGGACATGTTAAAGGCATCAGGGGTTGATGTCGAGATCGGGAAGAAGGAGTACACCGTTGCAATTAAGGAATGTCTTTCCCTTCTTGCCCTAGAGAAAGGGACATATCCACGATCTGTGAGTAGGGGTCAGGCCATGTATGAGAAGTACTTAGCAACGCGTCATGCACCGAGGGACAATGCCTAGAACTCCGTTTCTCACCACCCCACGTGTCCTTTGCTCGATGTTGTGCAGTGCGGGCAACAAGTGCAGCGCGTGGGAAAATTTTCGCTGCAACGATTGCGCCTCTGAGCTTGCGGGTTTGAACGACATTGTACGAGGCTCGATGCCGTCTAACACTATTCTCTCTATAGTGGGCGATGGTCAATTTCGGATTGCAGCAAAAGATCTCCTCACCCTCTTGCAAGTCAACCGCAGGGTGAATGATGAGGTGGTCAATTTCTATATGGCGTTGTTGGGGTCGACCGCATGTGGGTCATGTGACATCTCTTCAGGCCTTCAAGTCTTCAGCTTTAATTCGTTCTTCTTCAGTAAACTGCGACTTCAAGGACACGGTGGGGTGCAGAGGTGGGCTAAAAACGTAGATTTGCTTCGTTACGATATTATCTTCGTTCCTGTCCACAAAGATGATGATCAATGGATCCTCGTTTCCGTCAACATGAGAGATGAAGTTCCCGAAATTTTTGATTCTTTTCCTCGCATTGTAGCTGATTCTAGTTTTTACCTTAGTATTTTCGGGTTGATTGTGCAGTATTTGGAATGTCAGACATCACGTAGGCGGTCGGGTAGGAATTGGATGTCCATAGTGGGAAATGTTGTGGTGGATGGAGTTCCGAGACAAGTGGATGGAGCAAGCTGTGGTGTGTTCATGTTGATGTATGCGACGTTGTTGCAACGTAGAGATCGACCGCCTTTCCGATTCTGTTGTAAAGATATTCCGCTTCTTAGACGACAATTAGCATCATGTGTCTTAGAACATCGTTGTCTTTGAGGGATTTGATTGACTTTGAAACTTTTTTTTAAGGTGTTTTATTCGTTGATCGTTAAATTTCGTAAATCAAGACATTATTCAACTGTCCTTCTACCTGAGGCATTGCTTTCTTTTATCGTTCCGAGTTCGCGTTATCTACGGCAAGCTCAATGTATGTCATGCGTCATGTATGGACTTTGTAATCAATGTCACGTAATGTTCCATATCCCGAATTCTGTTCTAGTTGAAGTATTGTGTTCCATATTTCGAATTTTGTTGAACTGGAAGTGTAAAAATGATTGTGAAACTTGTTGGTGGATGAATGAGAAATCTCATCTTATGTGAAATTGGTCAGTGGATGCCTAAACCTTCTTTGCATGACCATTTAAAATGCGGATATTCATCGTGATGGAGCACAATTTAAAGTTCTGCACTAGTGCATAGAATATCGAAATTAAGTGGTTATTGAACTACACCTTGCCAATCACAACTGTAAACAAGTATGGATCTCAGTGCCCTCATGTCAGGCGAGATGATGAGCGTGCCTGTATGCGGAATTTATGCAAATACACCCATCGTCTCACCCGAGACGATTGTTTGGATGTTAAGGAGATTCGGACTTATGCAAGCACACCCGTCGTCTCACCCGAGACGATTGTTTGGATATTGAAGAGATTCGGACTTAGGGATAACGTAGTAAACGAAAATTTGATGTGTTAACCAACAACAGTTTAATCATAACACCTTGCTCATCACATATGTAAGCTTTGAGTTTAACAAGTATGGATCTCGACACACTCCTGTTCCAATCTGCAAGGGTCACAAGTGTTCTAAAAACAAGTCCGGATTTCATCATACATCTAAACAATCGTCTTCAGCAAGACGATGAACCTGCATGTGTGTCTTTGGGATAACCGAAAGAATTATACTCTCCAATTCAATCTAATTATATTGCTAATTTTGTTTACAAAAGTTCAACAACTATGAATGTCAGCAAACTTTTGCATTTGGGGCGACTGGGCGGGCATGCCCATGTACAAACACTGCAGTCAAAAATGAATTCGTAAGAAAGAGGACAGTGTCACAATATAGTTACTGTATTTTTTATCACATTTATGAAATTGAAGTTTGACAAGTAAGGATCTTGGCACACTTCCGCACAGAGTTCCCTTTGGCGTGCCAATCGTTGTTCGTTTATGAAGTTTGACTAGTATGGATCCCAACACAATTCCCCACAGGATCACCAACATATTTTTGAAGTTCAACAAGTAAGGATCCCAACACACTTCCGCATTTGGGATTTCATTTATGAAGTTTCACAAGTATGGATCTCAGCACGCTTCTGCATGTGGTTAACCCCTGGATGGGCATGCCTACGTTGCTTAGGCTGCAACCAAAAATTAATTCGTTAGAAAGAGGACACAGTATAATGTCCTATTTTAACGAATAACGTGTTAATGTCCTATGTCCTCGCTAAATTCCTACTTGACGGTGACTAAGTGTCAATTTTCCCGAACTTGGGTAAGGTCCGACTCAAATGGAAAGTAATTTGAGCACCTCATTATAACCGGCAGGGCTTTAATCAGGGTGAGGGGAAGCATTGCCTGCACTCTCCTTTTCTTGTTTCTCTTGAGAACTTTTGCCTCAGTTGACTTCTATACAGTCGGTGACAGCGTGAGCACTAGGGCAGTTTTTCTCAGGGCCCTCGTACTTACCTGTTCACAAAACGTGAGTGCAGGGTGGTTAAATGCCAGGAAACTGAGCTCTTAGGTGAGAGACTCGAGTTCTGGACTCTGGCTATAACGGAATTTCGTTTAGAGCGGAGTACGTTTGGCCGAGAAGACGATGTTTATTTCTGCTCTGACTAACGGTGCAGAGTGAACGGACTATTCAACAGGGCTTACCAACGCACGCTCATGCTCACCTCGGGTTTAGAGTCTCTGCCTTCGAGCTAAAAGTTCAGATAAGACGAGTCCTTGCCCGAGTGTCAGCAACTATAGACTCTGCACGCAGTACAGCATCAGAGCCCATAAACTAGCAAGAAATTTTCCACCTTGGCCACTATCTCGCATGGGGTACATACCCCTTTCACCTTTGACGGTTTTATTTAAACTTTCAAACAACAAGTTCTATTGCTGGTCATTTAACATAACTATTCCCCACAGTACCCTAAGGGTTCAATTTGGGGCATGAGTAAGAATCAGTGTCCTGATCGAGTGCAAACACCACGACCAGGTCTTGTGAGGAAGATAACAGCTCTTCGCATACCTATCTGTCCCTGCAAACCTGAGACAGGGTTATGAGAGGGGTACGATAATCAATGGAAAGCATTGACGAGGTGAGGATGACCTATACCCTCCATCTGGACAAAAGAGGAGACTGGGAGGAAAAAGCAATGGAAAGAGTTCCATACATTTTGGGGCTGATGAGAAAGAGGATGTTGGAAATAGTGAGAAATCAGAAGTTTGTATTATACACAGTTTATTTCCACAAGTTGGACGGCCGGTTACACAGCACCTTCTCATCTGTGGAGACGGTGGAACAAGCCAGGATAAATTTTGCATGAGCTCAGTAGTGTTACTTATTACTATTTTCTGATTTCTACTAGTACCTTAACAGCTGGCATTCTCCCACAACTTTCTGTCTTCACTTGTGGTCATATGACATGCTAAATCACGGTTCGGAGCCATACATTTGGCAGTACTCAAAACTCAGACAGAGCATTTTGGCAGTACTCAGAACTTAGACAGAGCATTTTGGCAGTACTCGGAACTCGGACAAAGCATTTTGGCAGTACTCAGAACTCAGAGCAGCACTTTGGGCAGTATTAAGAGCTTAAAACAATGCTTCATCATTATTCAGTTGCTACTTAGCTGTTGCTCAATTATTATTCTATTGCCAATCAGTCACTACTCAATCTGCATTTAATCAGCGAACAGTCGATTTGAACGGCAATAGGCATTCTTTAGCAAGCAACGGGTAACTTAATCAGCAGTATATTGCTCTCAATAAGCAAAACTCAACAGCATTCAGCGTCAGACAACGCTCATGAGAGAACACGCTCTAGCGATAGTAGAGAATCAGATAGAGATTGAGTACACCTATCATATCTACGGTACTGATGGGAGTCAGCAGACCACTTCCTCCATAGTGGGCTCGGTGGAAGAGGCCAGGAGAGTTGGAGACCATCAGTGAAAAAGATTTGAGCAATCAGAGACATGCATCAGTGAGAGACAGATTAGATCAAGGCAATCAGATTTGAGATCAGCTCATTTATCTAGACATTCAGTAGTCAATCCAGCAACTAGTTCAGCAATTCAGCAACCAATCCAACAATTAATTTAACAATCCAGCAGTCAGTTTAGTGATCAACTCAAGACTCAGATCAGCCGCAATCAGCAGACAGCC